AGACAGACAGACAGACAGACAGACAGACAGACAGACAGACAGACAGACAGACAGAGGGGGGGGAGAAGCCGTGTTACGGTTGTTTAGGAATTTGGCAAACGTATAAAAAATTTGAGACGCCAAGCCAAGTGGGATCAGAGTTCCTACCGTTCTTTCTTAAAATAGTTCCTTATATTTCTGGTGTTCTGTCACGAGACCAAGCTGTTTGCTTTGAAAATGACTTACGACTACTACGAGGGTCCAGGGCTAACGTTGAACAGACACAAAAGAACAAACAAAGCAAATTTCAACATTCTCTTTCACGTTGTTGCGTCCTTCCTTTGTCTTTGCCTTTCAAAAACAGTGTGAACCAACAATTCTTGTCTTTTATGCACGGCAGAAGGAAGTTGTATAAGAACCAAAAGAAATCTCTGAATGAATTTTTAACCGTATCTTTGTGCCCGATGCCGTGTTTCTACTGTATACGTTGCTGGCTAAAGAGTGCAAAAAAGGCTCCTGGGAGTGGAGTGTTGTAAAATAAAAGCTTTTGGAACCGATGTATAGGCTAATACTCACTCCGCCTGTACACTTCCCAGTATAGCCACAGTCTACGCCTAAACCTAAAATCAATGTCCAAAACATCTTAATTCGTATCACTAAATCATCAACCATCAACTGTAAACATAAAATTCTTTTCTGAATGAACAGGCATGCCTCGGGTGTTTAGTCTGAAAGGCCAGAGGTTAAAAGGCGTGAACAGCATTAGCTGTAGGTTATACAAAACTCATTAATTATTCATAGCCTACTCGATGTTATACAAAGACCCCTGGCGCGGTCTGTAGTTTTACCCAACCAATACCCTGTTAAGGATTTTCAGAACACACACAAAAAGCATATATAAAAGGCATGTTGAAATAGCATGGTTCATTGGCCTCGATGATTCCCTTCACGTTCACTTTTCTCGTGGTCTGGCTGACCGTTGGCGACCACTTCAGATTCTGCAACAAGTCTCTTCCACTCCTCTCGGTTCTCAACTCTCAGCAGTAAGATGTTCCAGTCATGGCCCGTTCACTTCTTGATATTGTCTTCTCATCGTTTTCTCTGTCTGCCTCTTCGTCTCCCTCCTTGTGTTTTTCCCTGTGGGGTTGTCTTGGCCAGTCTAGATTGTGTAATGTGCCTGTATCACTGTATTACCTGTATTACCTGTCTTGGGCAACAACATCATTGCACACCGGACAGGTCCACATAAACGCTCAGTTCCTCCCAGCACCAGAGCCCGCAAGGTATCCATACTGATTGTTCCAGTGGCTGTCTGATTATGGCGACGTCTTTCCTTTCCAGATAATCGTTCATTTTTTCCTTCTCCTCTCTCTATCCCCATTTCCCGCATCATGATGATTGCGTGGTGTTCTGCTGTCTCCCTTTCTTTCTTATCCTGTATCACTTCATGGTGCATCTGTTTACTGAAGTCAGGAGCTCTTCATAATAATGGGAGGATGGCGTTTCTAATTCTGGTTCTCACTACCTCATCGGTTATGCTTCAAAAATTATTGAGGGAAGAGAGGGGGGTCAAATGAATACGACATGTAAACAAGCCCCCGCTGTACAATTCTGACAAAAATACCCAATTTGAGAGCATTCTCATGCAAAGCTTCTGCGTTTGGATGACTTCCATCGTAACTGTTCCACAAAAAAGCAGCCCCTGCCGAGCAGATTCAGCTGGTTGGGAATATTTAATAAACCTTTCAAAGTTCTCTGATCATTTTTTCACGGCTCTTATGGGGTCCTAGAAACATACTTCATTTATGTAAACTCAGCATACTGTATGTTCGGCAAGTAGTCTCATAATGATCAAAACATGTCGAAATGGCTTTGAAAAATTAAGAGCAGTGAGTGGGTTGTATATAATGAAATATTACGAGTGTTTTGTTTGTTTGTTTGTTTGTTTGTTTGTGTGTTTGTTTGTTTGTTTGTTTCTTTGTTTGTTGTGTATTTCTTTGCTTGTATGCTTGGGGGTTTTGGGTGGGGGGTAAGGAAAATTTGAATGAACTGTCATATCAACTTGATAGGAAAACCTTTTTTTTTTTAATCCTCCCTTTTCACTGGGAATACAAAAACTTCAGATGAGATTGATTATAAATATTTCGTTGACTAGATTCATCTTCCTCAGTCCTTTGGGAAATTAAAATCCGATGCAACTGGTACGGTCAATAATGTGTAGATCTATTATATCTCATTCCAGAAAGAAAGAGTTAGATGAAAT